AATAAATTATCGAAATGAAGAAAATCCACTCCACAAAAGTAAACTGTAAATTACGAAAAAGAATTGTAAAATGTATATAAAACAAAGCAAGTGATTTGTAAAATGTTCATACTATTATACTTTGCTTTCAATTATTAATATATATGTGGTTCTTGAAAATACTGTACTTAAATTGATAGAAGACTGTACATCAGTGCCTAATCTATTCCATTCGATAGCACCACGATATGAAATACTTTTTGCACGATATTAAATACTTTTTTGTAATCAGTCTTTTGCGTTTAGTTTGCTTTGATTACCGCCGTCCGAAGGACAGGTACACAGCTAGTAATAGAATAATACAAAGAGGCAAATATTCTTTAGTATTGTCTTCTATGTTGTTTTTATTGTTCTTCCAAGAGCATAAGAATACGAAGATTCATTTTTTTTTATTATTCGGCCGAAAATTCAAACATTTTCATGAGCATAATTTTGTTCTACAGCATGCCTACAGGCCTCATATTTCTTAAATACAGATCAACAGGACTGATGACAGTATAGCAGAGGTTATGTGTGATACATCTAGGCCCACATTAGCTTCTAATACTCCTGCATTTAAATTCTCTTTTTTGGGTCACTTTCCCCCTTTAGTGGGGTTCCTTAGACCCTTGATGCAATTCAACAATTTTAAAATTTGAGAGCATTTCAGATTTGACCTTTGACCTAAGAAAAATGCCGATTCCTCATAACTCGAGAAATATACGTCCTTCAAACATAAAAAATAGTGGAAAAGGATGGAGAAGTACTACTTCCTATTCAACTTTAATAGGAACATGTACCCAAAACTGAATACTTTAGGAGATATTTGCGTACCATGCCAGCCCTATCAGAAATACATGTTCACCGCTGTACGCCGAGAAAATATCCAGATATCCCATAGTGTTTTGATGAAATAATTGTGTGACGTTTATTTGACTATTTTATTGGTTGAAATATACATGTAATACCAAATATTTTTCCAACTTATTTGAACATTTAGTGGGTCCACCTGCTAGAATAGAAGTATGATATCAAGGAATTTCAGTCTGAGCTTAGTTCGAGAAAAAAAAAAACTTGACCTTCGGACAAAAGCACTGACCCCTATAGGAATATGCATGAATTTTAATCACTAACAAAAACAAATAGAGTTCTCTGTGCTACTGCATTGCTAATTACTGAAGAATTTCGTCACTTTGCTTCTTCCTATGTACTGTAGATTTAAGTAAGTAAATATACGTCATACAAACATGAAAATAGTGGAAAATGTGAGTTGACATACATAAGTTTCATGCTTCTACTCAAATTTGAAGTATCATGCCATTTTTGGGACTAAGAAACCCCACTACTTTGGCTGCATCAAATCATATTCTGCTTTTGCCTGATTGTTTTTAAGAGGAGGAAAACCTTGAATTCTGAGGAAATTAAAA